GCTTCTTACTAACCGCACAGCCTATCAGGGGGCTTCTTACTAACCGCATCACACGCAGAGCACAGCCTATCAAGGGGCTTCTTACTAACCGCAGAGCACAGCCTATCAGGGGGCTTCTTACTAACCGCATCACACGCAGAGCACAGCCTATCAGGGGGCTTCTTACTAACCGCACAGCCTATCAGGGGGCTTCTTACTAACCGCACAGCCTATCAGGGGGCTTCTTACTAACCGCACAGCCTATCAGGGGGCTTCTTACTAACCGCATCACAGGCAGAGCATAGCCTATCAGGGGGCTTCTTACTAACCGCAGAGCACAGCCTATCAGGGCATCTGTTAGAGCGCCAGACACTGAGCTTAGTTACAGTGACTCAGACATGTTTGTTTGTTTGTCCAGCCCACAGACTTCATGTTTGTACAGACTTCATGTTTGTTTGTTTGTTTGCTCAGCCGACAGACTTCATGTTTGTTTGTTTGTTTGTCCAGCCCACAGACTTCATGTCGCAGGCGTCCATCTACCAAACCGGCACGGGAACAGCCAGCGTGTTCGGGGCGCCCTTCTCCAGGTCAGTAGCAGACACAAGTTTCTGCAGTGTTACAGAATCCTTCTCCAGTCTTGCCTTATTTCACACCATGACCTTGAATGACCTTGTTGTTTCTGCCCACAGATCGGTGATGGGCAGCGTCTCCCGGATCTCGGGACAGTCCACAGCAACGGAACAGTCCTTCGGCGACGAGATCTCAGAGGCTGGATCCCACGACCTTGCCCCTGGGCTGTCCAGTAAGTCACGACCTTGCCCCTGTGCTGTCCAGTAAGTCAGGACTGAAGGAATCTTTTATTGTGTGTCCAGGTGTGAAGACGCGGCGTGAGGAAGTCCTGATGTTTGTTTGTTTGTTTGTGTGTCCAGGCGTGAAGACGCGGCGTGAGGAAGTGAAGGAGATCCTGACGGAGGCGGATCTGGATCGCTCAGTTGGGATCCGGCTGTCGGAGAGCGACACGATCTGGATCCTGGATCTGGTCGGGACGTGCGTCGCTAACGACAGCGAAAACGCCGACACCATCCGCGCCAGGAACGAGAAATACAAGGAGGTGATTCACACTTTTCTTTTCACACAACAAATCAAAACAATCATAGTTTTCAACCAAGTATTCTCCAGCTACATCTGAAAGGTTTCATATGTTGTGGTTTATTGTTATTTTCCTGAGGGTCTGCATGGGGGGATCCTGGCAATGCTTATTGTTATTGTTATTTTCCTGCAGCTGTGTAAGAATCGTGTGGGTAACGATCGGTACATGGAGCGCGGCATGCCGAGGGTCTGCATGGGGGGATCCCGGCAATGCTTATTGTTATTGTTATTGTTATTTTCCTGCAGCTGTGTAAGAACCGTGTGGGTAACGATCGGTACATGGAGCGTGGCATGCCGAGGGTCTGCATGGGGGGATCCTGGCAATGCTTATTGTTATTGTTATTTTCCTGCAGCTGTGTAAGAATCGTGTGGGAAACGATCGGTACATTTATTTTTTCCGTCATTTTTATACAGGGTAACCCAATTCAGTGATGGCACTGCTTTTCAACGGGGCCCTGTATTACACAGCACAGTACAACAATCACATACAAATAATAACATTAGCATACAAAAATTATACAATAAATAATTATAATGGCAATGATAATAACGAAAACAATAAATACATTATAATGGCAATGATAATAACGAAAACACAGTAATTAACCAATAACAGTAATAAAAAGTAATAATAACAAAAAATACATCATTGTCCAGTCATTGTCATTGTCCAGTCCTATATGTTGGCATGGAGGGGTCAGAGGTCAGGCCAATTCTTACATTTCATTTTAAAAATAGACATGGACGGACAGGTCTTAATAGCAGTTGGCAGCCTGTTCCAGAGGGCAGGGCCTCTGTAGGAGAATTTGCGCTTTCCACATTCAAGGCGAACAAGCGGCAGTTTCAAAGATAGGTTCTGGCTGTGTCTGGTGGGGTATCTGTGGGATTCAAAAGCCATCTGGAAGTTATCTATGTAGTCTGGGAGTTCATTCATTACATGGAGCGAGGCATGCTGAGGGTCTGCATGGGGGGATCCCGGCAATGCTTATTGTTATTGTTATTTTCCTGCAGCTGTGTAAGAACCGTGTGGGAAACGATCGGTACATGGAGCGAGGAATGCAGACCTTCAACGATGCACCAAAAAACAAGGAAGTTCAGGCGGATAAAGTGGAGCTGGTCGTAAGTAAACTTCAGTTGCTAAGGGTCTGCAATCCTGCAACACTTAAACTAAGTAGAACAGGTTCCTGTGTTTCAGGACACAGGGTACAAAGTATTGCTTGTCACTGCTGTTCCTGTGCTGTCTGCATGCTGTTCCTGTACTGTTTGCATGCTGTTCCTGTACTGTCTGCATGCTGTTCCTGTGCTGTTTGCATGCTGTTCCTGTGCTGTCTGCATGCTGTTCCTGTGCTGTTTGCATGCTGTTCCTGTACTGTCTGCATGCTGTTCCTGTGCTGATTGTTTGCTGTTTCTGTACTGTTGTTGTCTGTTGTGTTTCAGGACACAGGCATCAATGCCTCGGAGTGGGACATGCACGACACATATCAGGACCTGGCAGCGAAAGACAAGGGTAAACTTTTCCTTCACTTCAACACAACACAATACGGCACGAAGTGTCTTTTGTTACTGCCACTGACGCTGTTTGTGACTGAATGCCCAGTTGGCATACATAGCTGCCAGATGTCACGTTGCAGGCCATTGCCACAGTTTTCTCTGAACTCCCTGCCCGCCAGTTCCTAGGCACTAACATCTCTACCCCCCCACATCTCCCCCCCCCCCCACCATCTCTCTCCCCCCCCTGCAGAAAAGTCAGGAGACCCGGATGCGGACCGTGACCTGACCATCAGCCGCCCGACTAGCAGGAAAGCCGACCTGGAGGAGGCTTCTGTGGAGGGCTCCATGCGCCAGGGATCAGCCATGTCAGGGGTCAGTGGCAGGGGTGAGTACAGGTCAGGGGTCAGCAGCAGGGGTGAGTTCATGTCAGGGGTCAGCCATGTCAGGGGTCAGCCATGTCAGGGGTCAGCAGTAGGGGTGAGTTCTGTGTCATGTGACCACTAGCCAATCAGAACAGGATTCCTACCCGATACATCATGTGACCTACCTTCTTGTGTTCCAGAGAGCCGGGCGAGCATCATGGCGTCGAGCGTTCTGGCGTCGCAGTTTGAGATGGCGGAGACGCCGGCGCCGCAGACCCTGCAGGAGGACAAGGAGATAACCGTCATGGACGACGCCGACCACCCCATTCTCAAGGTCAGTACACCATCCCATTCTCAAGGTCAGTACAACACCCCATTCTCAAGGTCAGTACAACACCGCATTGTCAAGGTCAGTACAATACCCCATTCTTAAGGTCAGTAGAACACCCCATTCTCAAGGTTAGTAGAACACCCCATTCTCAAGGTCAGTAGAACACCCCATTCTCAAGGTCAGTCAGTGCAACACCCCATTCTCAAGGTCAGTACAACACCCCATTCTCAAGGTCAGTACAACACCCCATTCTCAAGGTCAGTAGAACACCCCATTCTCAAGGTCAGTAGAACACCCCGTTCTCAAGGTCAGTAGAACACCCCATTCTCAAGGTAGAAACTTACATTCTCGGGGTCCAGTATAGAACTCCACATTCTCAAAGTCAGGCCCTCTTGTGTTGTGACATGTTGTGGAGAAAGTTGTTATGCTGTTTGTAAGATGTGCTTACCATGTGTTTCAGATGGAGAGTTTGCAGCACGACTTGTTTGTTATGGAGAGAGTCGTGGTGCAGAACATTTTCCAGCCAAAACAGGCGGCGTACCGAGGCATGGAGGAGCTCACAGGTCAGCCCTTTGGTCATGTTCTTCTATATAGCTTTACCCTTACATATACTTTAAGCACACCACAAACACCACACTCACAGGTCGGCCCTTTGGTTATGTTTTACCCTAAGCTTACATTTGGTTACCCACCATGGAGAAAGACTCACAGATCAGTGCAGTACAGGACAAGCTCACGGACCTTCTGGCAAGGATGTCCAACTCTCCATGTCCAACGCCCAGATGTGAATGATGATGACGTGGATGATGATGTTGATGCTGATGTTGATGATGTTGATGATGTTATATTACAGATGTTGACCGAGAGATACCAGAAGAGGCCCCCCCCACAGCTGGCTCCATGTCCTGGTGTTGATGATGATAATGTGCTGCTGATGATGCTGCTGCTGCTGATGTTGTTGCTGATGTTTATGGTGTGTTGTTCCTCTGCAGATGTTGACCTAGAGGTACCAGAAGAAGCCCCCCCCACTGCCAGCTCCATGTCCTGGTGTTGATGAGGATGTGTTGTTGCTGATGATGTTGATGATGTTGTTGATGATGATGTTTATGATGTGTTGTTCCTCTGCAGATGTTGACCGTGAGGTACCAGAAGAGGCCCCCCCCACTGCTGGCTCCATGTCCATCGCTCAGATGGGTCCCAACCTGGAGCGGCTCTGGATATACCACTGCGAACTCACCGATGGGCGTAACGTCAGCTGTCTGTCATGGAACAAGGCCAACCCCGTAAGTACACAAACAAACAAACCCCCCCACTGCGAACTCACCGATGGGCGTAACGTCAGCTGCCTGTCATGGAACAAGGCCAACCCCGAAAGTAAACAAACAAACAAACAAATAAAAAAAAACAAACCTTCTCACTGCGAACTCACTGATGGCCGTAACGTCAGCTGCCTATCATGGAACAAAGCCAACCCCGTAAGTAAACAAACAAACAAACAAACAACCCCAGGGAGAACAGTACTACATGCCTGTGCTAGAAAGCCCAGTGAGTAGTGAGTCAGGTTGTGGAAGAAGGTTGAAACGTAAAGCAAAATGTTACAGTCTGTTTCATGTTACCATGTCATACCCTGCATCAATTCAGTCGTATAAAGGCTGTGACTGCAGTGTACTGTTTGACTGTTTGACCAATAAAAACCATTATTTATATTTTCTCCCCAGGACCTGATCGCTGTGGGTTACGGCCAGTTTGGGTTTAACGACCAGAAGGGCGGTCTGGCCTGTTGCTGGTCTCTCAAGAACCCCAAGGTGAGACCTTAGACACTGTAGTAACTCCGATGTGAGACCACACATTAGCACCAGTATTAGCTACAGTGTACCAGTGAATAATATTTATTTTAATGTTTGAGTTTTCTCACTATGTGCAAAAATAGGCATAAGCCGCAAGTAGAATTTAGATGGTTCCACTGGATCAACTCCTTATCCATATGTGTGGTGGGTTTGAAGGTGTGGCTATCCCTCAACATTATTGCACCTCTATGTTTAAACAGAAGCTGTAGGTACTCATTTTCCCCTGAGTTTAGCGGTAAAACTAACGGGTGCAAACTGCCATTTGAAGTGCGACAACATCAGGACTGGGATTAGAACCCCAAACCGCTCCATCCTGCTGTTGTTCATCACCTCCTCACGTTGTTGTTGTTGCAGTACCCGGAGAGAGTGTACCACTGTGCCTCGGGGGTGGTCAGCATGGACTTCTCCTACCAGAACCCCAGCCTGTTGGCGGTCAGTAATTAACTTCCAGTCAGGCAACTTTAGTTCTGCAAAATTTCAGCCTGTCAAACCGAAGAAAAATTTTGTTGTTCAATGACACTAGAAGCTTCCTGTTGAAGCAGAATGAAATTTCCATCCAAATGAAATGCCCAGCTGTAAGAATGTTGTTTATGAAGCTGTTTTGCTGCATATTTTGAAGCGAAAGTTCCCGGCATGTCTGAAGCTGCCGTTCCTCCTATTTCTGCTAGGTGGGGCTGTACGATGGAACAGTTGCCATCTACAATGTGAGGAGCCAGGAGGACTCCCCTGTGCTGGACAGCTTGTAAGTTTGGCACCTCTTCTCACCTTACCTCCCCTCCTATCTGCATGCATTAATGACTCTCCCCTGCTTCCATGCGTTACTGACCCCCCCTGCTTCCATGCATTAATGACTCTCCCCTGCTTCCTTGCATTAATGACTCTCCCCCTGATTCCATGCATTAATGACTCCCCCCTGCTTCCATGCATTAATGACTCTCCCCCGCTTCCATGCATTAATGACTCTCCCCTGCTTCCATGCATAATGACTCTCCCCTGCTTCCATGCATTAATGACTGCCCCTGCTTCCATGCATTAATGATTCCCCCCTGCTTTCTCCTGCTTTCCTCAGTCAGTCCGGACAGGACCATGTCAAGAACAGGTAGGTTCTTCTGCCTTCTGCACCCCTGTTCTGAAGTAGACTAGGCCAGGTTTTGGCCTGTTCCTGTTCTATTATTAGCTTTTCTATTACTGAATTTCACTCCTGTTTCAAAAGGACAGATTGTTGCTAGTTTCCTGTGTTCCGGCAGCATACATGTGACAGTAATGGTGTGTAATTTCCCAGTGAGAACGCGGGGAAGCACGCTGCGCCGGTGTGGCAGCTGTGTGACGGGTTTGTGTGTTTGTCCGTGTTTCCCAGTGAGAATGCAGCTGTGTGATGGGTTTGTGTGTTTGTTTGTCCGTGTTTCCCAGTGAGAATGCAGCTGTGTGATGGGTTTGTGTGTTTGTTTGTCCGTGTTTCCCAGTGAGAACGCGGGGAAGCATGCTGCGCCGGTCTGGCAGCTGAAGTGGGTGGAGAGAGACCGCGGCGCACATGGGGACGAGAGGGGAGAGGTTCTGGTGTCGGTGTCGGCAGACGGGCGAGTCGTGCAGTGGTCCATCCGCAAGGGGCTCGAGTCTTCAGGTACGGCAGCTTCTTGGGAAGGCTTAAGAGAGGGCCTGCAAGGGGGGGTCCCGACAACGCTCTACGCTGAATTCGGAAACCTCTCGATTACGCTTTACGATAAATTCCAAGTGGCTACAACATGGACACATGGAGACATGGAATTGAAACGCTGAATACGCTCTGCGCAAAAATATTAGAGCGGTCCGTCTACGCTCTACATAGAATTAAAATGGCCGATTACGCTCTACGGAAAAGGGCTTGCGGGCCCCCTTAAGACTGGACCTTCTTGTGTTTGTCACAACTGCTGGAGGTTCCTTCCCGTGTTCCTTAAGAATGCTGAAGGCTTCTTCAAATGTTTCTGACTCTTCCTTGCATTTCCTAAGAAGTCTGAATGTTCCTTTGTGTTCACCAGACTTGATGAAGCTGAAGCGAACGGCCGTTAAGCCGACCGGACCGGCGAAGGGGAAGGAGGGAAGCAAGAAGAGCGAAGGTCTCATCTTCAGATTCGCCCCCGGACTCTGCTTCGACTTCAGCGCCAAGGACCCCAACATGTGAGCTTCTCTTACTATCAAAATAATTTACTCTAAACATGTGAGTTTCTCATACTATTAAAATAATTTACTCTTAACATGTGAGTTTCTCATACTATCAAAAGTTTAACTCTAAACATGTGAGCTTCTAATACCATCAAAAGTTTGACTCCGAACATGTGAGCTTCTCGGCTTGTTCTCAGCAGTTTTAGCTAATAATGAGACGTTGTGTTGCCATCGAAACAGCAATGGAGTCACCAGCAGCAGTAATGTGTTTGACCTACCCATAATGCCCTTCTGCTTCCTGTGCAGCTACCTGGCCGGAACAGAGGAAGGTCACATCCACAAGTGTTCCTGTTCCTACAACGAGCAGTACCTGGATTCTTACACAGGACACACGGTAGGTTTTGTATGAGATCATTGTTTCTGCAAAGCTGATTTTGTCCTGCTTCTGTCCTGACTCTGCTCAGGTTCCATATCCTGACTGTGTCCTGTTCCCATCCTGTTTCTGTACTAACTCTGTCCTGTTGCAGGGTCCGATGTACAAGATCAGCTGGTCTCCCTTTGCTCCAGCTAACCCCGTCCTGTTCCCGTCCTGTTCCCGTCCTGTTCCTGTCCTAACCCTGTCCTGTTCCCGTTGCAGGGTCCTGTTTATAAGATCAGCTGGTCTCCCTTCTCTCCCGCTAACCCTGTCCTGTTACTGTCCTGTTCCTGTCCTAACCCTGTCCTGTTTCCTGTTCCAGGGTCCGGTTTACAAGATCAGCTGGTCTCCCTTCGCTCCCGACATTTTCCTGAGCTGCAGCGCGGATTGGAGCGTCCGGCTCTGGTCACATGACCTGACATCACCAGCCATCAACTTCTTCTCCTCCACGGTGAGTTTTACATCAACTGCAGTAAGTACCATGTTACTATGGTTTCTGTTCCCATGGTTACTGTTCCCATGGTTACCATGACATCACCAGCCATCAACTTCTTCTCCTCCACGGTGAGTAAATTTCTGCACATGGAAACTTTCTCTTTTTCAGTGCCTAAAACTGCCTGTTGTTGCCATGATAAGAAGTGTCAGGGCTCAAAATTAACTTTTTGACCTAGGAGCACTGTGCTCCTAACCATAAAAAGTTAGGAGCACAGGCTAAAATCTAGGCGCACCAACAAAAAATATTGTATTGCAAAGGTGTTAATATATGAGGGACACTCGGTGGGCATGATCATGATCTCTATTAAAGATCTCCATAATTCAAATGTAAAAGTACTAGTACAGTAGTTCATAGCCAGGGTTCTAGCTAGGATTTAATTTTAGCGTAGTGGTACTTGCCGCACGTTGAGGGAGCGAAGCTACCGACAGGGGGGATGGGTGCTTTTAAAAATTTTGAGGGATACCCAAAATGAAAAAATGTCATTATTTTCTAAGGTCTGTACAATGTATCCTTGATTAGTAATTTTTATATCTTTGCAGCTTGAAATCTTCACAAAATACAAAAGATAATCCAAATCAGACTCTGAGCATCTGGTGTGCAAAGTTGCAATACTCTACATGCAAAAAATAGCAACTACAAACACTGTATAAATAAAACAAAAAATATGTCTGTTTTGCCTACTAATAGTGTCTCATTATGAGGCACTTTTAATCTCCTTTGTGCCATTTCTGTTCTGCAAAACTGGGCCGAAGTATGATGTGATTCTACACGTGGCTTTGTTGTTATTGCCAAGCTTTGATGCTGACATGATTAAAGGCAGTATGTTGACATAGATCGCACAGTAGCTAATGAAATCGGCATGGCACGGCACTGACGTGTATGTGGGAGGAAAACCCACGTGTGTCACAAATATCACAGACACTGGTAAAGAAAAACGGCAAAAATTTGACAAAAGAGCAAATAATTTATAGTTACTTGTTTAAATTATGAACGGATCCATTGGGTGAACTCCCTTGTTCATAGACAATTTTCATAGACACTGGATACCGAGCTAATAGTAAGTTACCAACGCAAATTTGCCGCTGTGGGCTTTAGAGGCCCCTCCTCTTTTCGGCAGCCGGCTGGATACATCGTGGGAATTGTTAAATAGGCCAGCCCATATATGGCGTCCCAAAGGGAAAGCCGACACTAGGAAGGGGGCGGGACATCTCTTGCCTGGACTCGCCCAGACACTCTGGCACCAGTGTCTAGCCGCTGTCACTCACAGAAGTTGCGAAGAGCCAAGAGAACCCGCCCTGGTTCTCCTGGGAGGCCCGGCACATGCGTTACTGCGCTAAAAAAACATTTTTCACATTTGATCTGGCATTCGTGAACAAAGAAATACAGTCACAATGCCGCTAAGTTGTAGTGAAAATTAGCGGGGGAAAATTGGCATGGCGGGTTCTGCTTTTATCTACAATGCAGGCTAAAATTTTTATTGGCGCACCGTGCGACCGTGATTTCAAATATAGTCGCACCGTCAAAATTTTGGGCGCATGTGCGACCAAATCAGTCGCAGTCACGAGCCCTGAGTGTAGAAATAGCCATGTTACATTGATGAAGGTTAGACATCCAGGTAAAATGCAGTTACTCAAGTAACTGGATATGATTTTGGAAACGGTCAGACGTTTCAGGTAGTATCTGCTACCTTTCATCAGTGACTGAGAGAGCAGAGGAGAAATGCAGGTCTATAAGCACAACTATTGATTGATATGCATTTCTCCTCTGGTCTCTTAGTCACTGACGAAAGGTAGTGGATGCTACCAAAAACGTTTGACCAAAGTTGCTTGAGTAACTGCTTTTTGGCATTGTTGAGAATTGTTGTTGATGTGTGTTGTTGTTGTCCTCAGCGCTCGGTGTACGATGTTTGCTGGTCTGTTGTTGTTGTTAAGTGTTGTTGTTGATGTGTGTTGATGTTTGTTGTTGTTTCAGCGCTCGGTGTACGATGTTTGCTGGTCTCCAGCCTCCTCCACGGTGTTCGGTTGTGTGAATGAAGGAGCCGTGGAGATTTGGGACCTCTCCGTCAGCACGTAAGACTTCTGATTTCTCTGTCAGGACGTAAGACTTCTGATTTTCTTCGTAGGATTGTTTGAGTAAAAATGGAGCAGGTTACAGAAATCTGATGTAGGGTCTGTATGGAGCAGTGTGTAAGTCACAGCTGTGCTAGGAGAGGGTTTGATGTGTGATGTCTGTTTTCTAGATGTGAAATGAAGCAGTTACAGTTTACTGTGCACTAACCCTGCCTGTGTTGTCTGCAGGTTGGATCCCATCATAGTCAATGTGCCGAACCCTGGCATCAAACTGTCCTGCATCACCTTTACTCGCAACTCTGATGTAAGTACACAAACAAACAAACAAACAAACGTCACTCGCAACTCTGATGTAAGTACACAAACAAACAAATTCTCCCTTTGAACTCTCAGGAAAGTCCATGCCTGTCACGCACACTGTAATGGGACAGCCTGTAATGTTTTTTGTCTGTTTTTGTCCCCCCCCCCTCCTTCAGTGCGTGTTGGTAGGTGCCAGTGACGGACAAGTCACCGTCTATAAGCTGAAGTGCATGCAGCCGACGCCCGACAACCAGGTGAGGCACCCGGCAACCATAATGTAGTATCAGAACTGGCTTAAAACCAGCAAGTATTTGTCAAATTTCTATCTCAGATCTGTCCTTGTAACAGCCAAGACATCCTTCGAAATTTCATTCCAAAGACATTTTGCCTCTTGGATATAAGACACTAGCTAGTGCCTCCGATGTAGGCAAATAAAGAATAGGTTTTGTGAGTGTGTTGACTGTTGTGTTATTGTTGATTATTGTTTATTTCAGGGTGCTGCCCTGAGGGACGTTATTGTTGATTGTTGTTTGTTTATTGTTGGTTACGTTGATGAAGGTACTCAAGCAACTGGATATGATTATGGAAATGTCAGACGTTTCAGCTAGTATCCACTACCTTTCGTCAGTGACTGAGAGACCAGAGGAGAAATGCAGGTTTATAAGCACAAACTATTGGTTGATATGCTGATTTATTGTTGCTTGTTGTTTATTTCAGGGAGCCGCCCTGCGTGACATTATCCAGGCCACGATGGCCTCTCAGCTGCAGACAACAGGAAAAGCCGGCAAGAAAAAGGGCAGCGGCGAGTAACGTCTCAAAATCCTGACTACTTCCTCAATGAAATCAGTTTTACGGAGCGTGTGATGCAACGTCTCAAAATCCTCACCGTCTATTTCCTTCAAGAAATCAGTTTTAGGGATGGCGTAATGCACTGTCTCAAAACCCTGCATCTATCCTGAAGGGGGGAAGTAACTATGTGTAAATACTGACTCTGGACCAGACATGTATCTGTGCCTGATCTGTACTTTGAATTGTCACCCTGACCAAAGTAACTATGTGTAAATACTGATCTGGACCAGGCATGTATCTGTGATCTGTACTGTGAATTGTCACCCTGACCAAAGTAAGAAGTGCAGAATGTAGACCAGATTTCATGTTGTGATGTAAAGTTAGTAAACATCATTTTTCCACATATTGTAGAGTTTAAAATCTGCACAAGATGTACATGAGATTGGAAGGAAGGAAGAATTTTTGTACTTGAAATTTCTGCTGCTAAGATCACAATATGTTTGTTTAATGATGTATATTTTGTAAATATACACGAAACTATTTTTTTGTTGAAACTTTGACTCTTGGATTACATAGAATATTGAAGGAGTTCCAGAAAATACACTGTGATGTTCCCAAACCTGTCATGTGTCTTGGTTTTCATTGCAAACTTAATGTGGAAATATGGAAGGACTTCATTATGGAAGTGAGCATGTTTTAAATGACATTTTCTCTGCACAATCTGCAGGTTTGAAAAGCCTGCTTCAAACAACAGGCCGACAAAAGTTGTTCTCTGTGACTGCAAAGTTTACTCAAAGGAGTAAAGCAGGCTTTCAGATCATAACGTTATGGATTGAAGTTTAGCCAGTCGGCATAGAAATTCGCACCAATACTGTAACAATAGTTCTAAGTCATAGTGAATTCAATGCTGGTCATCATTTAATAGAGGCTATAGATCTTATACCCCAGTAAAACCACAATTTATAGAATATATATATTAAACTGTGCCCCAGAACTGAAACATACTCACTGTTTTTTCGTACTGCTCTTGGCCATCCATCCAACCGTCTCTGTCAGCCACCGTAACATCTGCTTGGAGATGAATGTTCTGTCACCATGTCGTCAGCGGTGTGTTGATGCCAAGTTTGGGACTGCACTTCGGAATTCAATCGCTAGAGGCCGCTCATGCTTGGTCTACTTTTGCCGGGAAAGTTTCAACACATGCAGTTTTCAAATAGAATCTGGTTTATCTTTCGACTCACCGGATAATTTGTTATGTAAAATTCATACAAGGCCCGTAAACAAACTGTGCTTTTCCAGTAAATTTGTTTTTAAAAAAAGTGGCACACTATCGTGTGGGGAGGGGGGCGGAATCGGCCAGGGTCAACGACCCTTCAGCCTAGAGCATTGTGGGAGTATTCACGAAAGAAAATAATTTATCATATTATCAAAATGCTCTACGTGGACTTTAAAATTGACATCATATTACTGGCAATAGAAATTATCAGGGTTGTCAAGTTGCCGATCGTCTGTTGTCCGTTTTCGAACAACTGGCGTAACAGGTGGGGAGGGGGGTGGGGAGGGGGGCGGGGTTTGCGGGTTTAACCTTGCATTTTAGAATCACGCGCTGCTTTTAGAACTAAATCACCAGGACATTTCTCCAAGTTATTGTCAAACGAGTTGCAGTTTTGGAAGTGTGAAAGTCGTGAATGGGTTTTATTCGTGCCTCGTTTGCGGTTGCTGCTACACCGTAACGCGTTACACCCGTGGTTTGTTCTAACACAGTGCAATAGTGATCTCTAGCGATTCATATCAAAAGTGCAACAGAAGGTGCTGGCACAAGCGACAAGCTTATAGTAAGTTATACAGTAACTTGTCATTTGAGCTAGTTGTTAGCCTGCTCCTGAGTCCTACAGCCTCTCCGCAAATAGCGGAGGTTTGGTAACCAGGCTTTTCTGTTTTATTATTATTACTATAGGCATTACTTGGTCAAATACGTAGCGGACCAGCTCCCTTGGTGGGCAGAGGTTGGCAGGGGGTTGACGTCTTGACCAACATTTTAGTGGGACTTTTGATTCTTATAATTAGTTTGGCACCTATCCAGTGTCGTCTAGCCTGTGTATCATCCGGATTTTGTTCCGCTACGCTAGAAAAATTTTTGATTTCTTTGCTGAGCGAAGCGGAGCAAAATCTGGACGGTACGGCGCGAGTGTGATGCTTTGAAGTGTGACGACCGTGCACAAGCGCCGCCTAGCCGGCATGTCATGCACTGCAGCCGGCAGGGTGCCTGCGCGGGACAGTCCGTTTTGCGCTTGTTCTGCGCATCCCGCTGGGCCAGAAGCCACAAACTTTTTGTGCGGATTTGCGGCGGAGAATCAGCAGCACTGCCGGGCGGAATTCTGCCCGTTTCTGCCGACATTTCCGCGCGCAGACGGCATGGCTGGGAACTTCTGCACGGCGGCGGCCCTGCTGGCACCGTTAGCGGGGATCCTGGCGGCGCTAGCGGCCGGGACGGAAGGTAAGGGACGGAGTGTGTGCGCGGCGCCAGGCCCGAAGTTAGGCCGCGGCTGCCAACTGTTGCATGCGGAGTGCGGGGGCTTCTCTAGTCGGGCCGGGGGCATCTGTAGCCGGGACGGGGGCTTCTCTAGTTGGGACGGGGTAACTCTAGCCGGGATGGGGCGGGCCCAGGCTCGGTACGGGCGGGTACGAGGCGGGGGAAGGCTTTAGGCAGACTTTGGGACCGTCCGAACCGTCCCGGGCCCGCCGGTTCCCCCCGAACCCCCGCCAGGACCGGGCCTCGGCCCGCCGCCTGCCTCCCCCCTGCAGGCCCCCTCAGGGAACCAACTTTGTTCCCGTCAGGAATATCTTAGACACGGTTTGGCAGCAAACTTCGCCGCACACATGGCTGAAAAACTCCCGATTCCTGCAGCTTAAATCCGTCACTCAGAACCGCGACGTTAGCCACAGCCCGCCTGCTTATGCCAGGCACGTCAAGCTGCCACATTCCGATATTATTCGCCACTTTCTAACCATGTAGCCAACATTTTATAAAAATGTAGCGAAGTGCTTGTAGCGAAATGATTGTAGCGAAGTGTTGTTGGTTACTGTTTGGCTACAGAAATGGCTACAATCCCGGAGGCGCCTTGTGTTTGTGGATGGGCGGGACGGAAGTGGCAGAAAACAGCCGACATAATTTATGTGTTGGTTTCCCAAACACCAGCGTCTGCTCTGTCACACCCAGCCAGCTAAACACGCAGGGGACTGGGGGGAACTTTCTAGTACCCCCCTCCCTGTTACCCCCTGTGTATGATAGCCACCCCCCCCCCTACCAATGCTTCTATAATAAACTACAATATTATGAGAGAAGGTACATGTCATTGTTTCATGTGCAAGTCCCCTTCCCTAAGGTTTAGATAAATACTGGGTGTGTAAAATTCTGGTAAACAACAAAATTCAGAGTCAACACTAGACAGGGCCTTGTGCAATGTGAGCATGCTCCGCACAGCTTTGTAAACTCAAAAATCAGGTCCCCCCTCAAATTCTGTGTGTGTGTGGGGGGGGGCAGTCGTGCTTGTCTGTATGTACTAGTACCAGGGTATGTCTGTTCTGATTTAGTGACAAGTTTACGTACAAACTTAAAGTTTGATACTGAGTTCAGCAGTAGTTTGAGAAGTTTCGGTAAGCTTCATACTGAGTGAGAGGGTTGTTTGTGAGAAGTACAAGTGAGTAAGTTTTACACTTCTGATCTGCTTGTTGTGAGCGTAAGTCGGTTCCCATGCAGTCACCGATATCTGGCGCTTGTATAGCCTTTCCCGGGTCCCCGCATGCGATATGTTGTATACGTTACGGCCAGGGGCTTTGAATCGGAGCCGGAGAAAGGGTTGTTTGCTTTTCCCTTTGTTGGTGTGTCGGGTTGGAGAGGCTGGTTTCGCTAACACCGCGGCTCCAGTCACGGGCCAGGGTTCTCCTGCGGAAATCTGAAAGTGTTACCTCTGGGAAAGTCCTCTCGGGGGTGAAAGGTGACGGTTTGGGTTCGGGAGCGGCCGGGAAGTTAGTTGGTACGCTGAGGGGCGACGTAACGCACGGCAGTAACACAGGAGGTGGTGTTTACGGTTGATGCAGCGTAGCCACAGTAGAACTCTGGTCAACAGTAAACGATACACGAGTGCCAACACTGGCCGCTGATCACGAGCGGCGCGGGTAGAAACGGGACGTTTGCACGGCGGGGTAGCGCTCGCTACTAAAACCCTGGCCACTGTTCTCCCGGTAATACAACCTGCGCCTAATGGCCCTCTCAGCTAACACTGGAAACATGTTACAGAACCAACCTCTCACAACTCGGCAAACACTCTGCAAACACGCTACAACATCAGCCTATCCTGGTGTATGTGCACAAGGCTGTTGTAGGGGAACCCTACGCTGTGATTTAGCCCCCTACACCAGTCATTCAACCAGCGTAGGGGTGTTTTGGGGGGGGGGGGCAGAAGCTCTATGAATCTTTAAAAAAATGAAAATAAAACTTCAGAATAAAGCTATAACAAAGGGAAAACAAAATAAGCAAGAAACAGTGTCTCGGGGGTTATGAGTTACAAAATTTTGTGTGGAGAATCCTGGTGAGAAACCTTTGTAGGGTTTGCATACATGGCTGGTGAGAATGCTGTACTATAGTAGTGTAGGGTTTGCATACACGGCTTACTGGTGCGTGTTTGTGTGGATGTGAGCAGGAGATAGCAGTAATCTGGCCGGGGAGGGAGATAGGAGCATTCCTGTAGAGTGTCAGGCTTGGGGACGGCTCAGGGGAATCATGGCAGCTGAAAAACTCTGCTGGAAGACTTTAGCAACCAGACTGTGGCATGATTTGCTTTGGCCCCTGGTAGTTAATGGTGAGTTAGTAACTTAGCTAGTTAGTTTTTTTTTTGTCGTGTAGAAGTTATAAACCACAAGGTCACCTAAACCCTAACCCAAGGTCACCCAGGCTGGAACTACAGAATATTGCAACCCAGTCTAGAAGCAAGTTGAAGGAGTCAGCACCCAGCAGACAGACACAAAATGGAACCCAAACTGGCAACCCAACCTGCCCAAACCTGGTCCCAATTTACAGGCGGGTTTCTGGTTCTCAAGACTTGGTGGGGACAAAACTTGGCTGCCAGGAGAGGGCCAACAGAAATAGGGCAGGGCTGTCTTGTGCATACAGGAATATATCTGTACTGTACCCTAGGGTTCCCCTACATTTTTCCTCAGTCTTCCAGTAACACCAACTGGACGTTTGTTTTCATTTC